AGGAATGCAGCCAGCTCCAGTTCCCTAAAGAGCCAGGCTGAGGGTGTGGTCCCCTGGGTGCTGGGCCCACCCTAATTGAATGGTCACAGCACAGAGATTTAAATCACAGTGTCACAGGGCAGAGATTTTTGGGGAGAAACCAAGGTGGCTTTCTGCCACATTCCCCATAAAGATGCTCAGTGATATTGAATACAAATAGAAACCCTACTTTATTGCTCTAAAAGCCAGTAGAGATGGCAGAGTGATGGAGAGGAGGGGCTACTCCTTCCTTCACACAGACCAGCTGCCATCACATTGTCTCTGGCGTGGAAGGGATGTTCCTAAATCATTACCTTATCTGGTCTGCCCTTGCTGGGCCACCATTTAGCAACATGTGACCTGTTGTTTTATGTCTTTTGTCTTTTATTTTCTTTTTCTCTATTTAAATATCCTCTTTCCCATTTTCTCCTTCCCTATTCCTTCCTTTCATGGCCTCTCTAGAAGTACACTGCACACCCAGGGGGGCATAGTACCACCAGTGAAAGTGAAAACTGCAGTTTTCATTTGTTTCCCCACCCAAGCCCAGAAAGACTTACAGTGATGCTGAAAGGTGGCAAACACAAACCAATGCAAAAGGAGATGTTCTCACACCATGGATTAGACTGTGAAACTCACTGCCACTGGATCTCACTGGAATCAAAATCTGAGCAAGTTTCAAGCTGGGCTCAGACACTCACACAGATTCCTAGTTTTTGACTTCTCATGGAAAAGTCTAAATTTGTACCCCATTTTCTAGCAGTTCTAGTTATTCCCCTTCTTGCTACAAATAGTGTCCGAGGCACAGAGATTATGCAAGTTTCCGAAGTTAACAAAGTGAGTCTGCTGCAGAGCCAGGCATTTCATTCAGGTCTAAACTCAGCACCTTGTCACCAGACCTCCTCCTCCCCAGTATGGGGCACATCTCTTCCGCTTGTCTCTTCAGTATCACCTACCAGTACTTGCTGCTTGCACTATAGCAGTGTCACCAACTCTGTATTTACAAATCATGGGTTGCATCCCAAACCCCAGAGACTGGTTTGAAAAACTGGAGATTTGAAAGAACAATCACTGCTGGAATCTTTTTCTTTACCTTCCAGTTTCTGAGCTTTTAGGATCACATTCAGATTGTGTTTCCAGGCGTCTCCACAATCAGCAAGCCTAGAAATGATTTCTTTTTCCCCAAATGAAAGCTGAAATTCCCATAGTCACATGACTCCAAGAGCAGGGGCTTTAAGAATAACACTTAATCTCATGAGACTCTCAAGCAATGGCAGCATTCCCAGGATTATGCCACCACCAGGTGGTTGGACCTCGAGGCCACTTTAAGAGTTTGTTAAATCCTCTAGCAGGCCTAAAAAGTTGGATAACTATGCTTGCTGCATACAGACTTGTCAGGGGAACTAAAAATTGGCAAGAGAGCCAACTCTTCTTTTAAAAGGCTTAGATATGAGTTGGGCAGGACTTCATAGGTAACAAATAGATCCATTTAAGAAGCTCTTGAATATGTTTCAAAGAGTGTTTTGTAAAGGCCACAGGCAGGTTTTAAGCAGAACATGTAACCGGCTAGTATTGCTCCCTGGGCTGAACTGCAACCCTCTCTCCCCGACTTCCCCCTTTGCACCCTGGACCTTCCTTGTCCCCGTCCCACGCTGGAGAAGGTGGACACCAGAAGTAGCTGGATGTTCAGTGCTGCAGGGGGAAGACGCATCCTTTTTTCTGCTGTTGCTATAAGCCGAACAACTAAAAAAAAGTCACCGTTTTTAGTGACAAAAAGGAGGCAACATCTCCCTTCTGCAGCAAAGAACTGCCGGCCACTCCTTAGCAGTGGAACGCCACCGCTTCTCTGCCCTCCCTGCTGCTGTTGCTGGAGCAGAAATGATGCGGGCTGTGGGGGCAGGAAGGTGAGATACCCCACCATTTTCATTCAGGCACCCTCCCCTCAGCAGTGCCTGGTGCTCATGCCCTGCTCGTCCATCCATCATTACACTACTGATTTAAGGAGACTGTGAGATCATCTACAGGCATCCGCACTTGCTAATAGCCTTGCACACTTGTGTGTGCCAGTACTCACTCACTCTTTCTTTCTCTCTCTCTCTCTCCCCTCTCTGGAATCCAGGGAAAATTGCTCCCATAATTAGGCTTCAACAGCATAAATAGCACAGGGTCGTTTCTTTAATGTGTGGGAGCAGGTTGCAACCTGCTCTTGGTGGTATGTAAGCCGCCTGGCAGGCTGGGCTATTTGTCACTTGGGGAGTGTGATTTGGTGTAATTGCTTCCTTTGATTGCTGATTTCCACATGGGGAAGAGATGCCTCTAAGATGAGACTACGCAGGGTGGGGCACAGTCCAGAGCTGCTCTAAACAGAAGTGGCAAGGCTGGTTCCTGCATGCTGTTGGGGAGACTGGGATGCGGGGGGAAGAGTATGTGCCCCGGACACAAACCTGTGACCATTGAAGAAACAAGCACTAAATATCTTGCAGATCCCCTACAAGCAAACAGATGTGCTGGTGGGTAGGTGTTTGTGTGTGGGGGGATTCAGACTGAAACAGCCTTCGCTCTGCCCCCTCTGCTGCCTGGTTGCCTCTATCTGGCAACTGGACTGTAAGTGGGCAGTGGGGCAGCAGCGGTTGGCCGCACCCGTTGGCTTCCGGAGACTTTGCTGCACCTTTTGAGTCAGACTGTTGTATGTGTGTGCACACAAGCTGACTGTCCTTGGAAGAGCGTGTGCCTCTGTACACGTGCAAAGGCACGTGCTTACAGATGTCCCACTGACCACCGGTGGGAGAAAGCTCAGGGTGGGAGTGCAAGCTGGGGGCAGTTGGCTGCACCCCTGCAGCTGTCATCAGCAGGACATCAACACTAGTGTCCTGTTCCACGTCATTAGCCTCTCAGGTCATTTAGTCCTGTGCACCCATGACACAATGATCTGTCTGTGCAGATCCACGGGGCCTCAGCATTGCATTCCCACTGTTTATTGTCAATCAGCAACCTTCTCTTTGCTGCATTCCCTTCCCCTGCCCCCTTCCCTTCCAGACGCACTTGAAAGCCACCAGCTTGGCAAGCAGATTTCTTCCATTAAATGCATCATTGGAAGCCAAAATACCATGAAGTTCAATCAGACAGAGTCTCTTCCTTTTTCTTTAATTTAGGCGGGACACAATAAGGCTTGCAGCGATGCTGACAAGCGCGGCTGGTTCAGAACTCTGCTGACACCTCCTGCTTCACAAATCTCTTAATCCGCCCCCTTCCTGGGAGAGATTGGGACTGAATTGCTAAATAGCCCACAAGAAAAAGAATGGAGCTGGGGCATTCCCCCTTCCACGCACGCAGGGAGTGGGCGGCTGCTGCCCGAGGAAGGGCTGCCTCTTGCCGCTCATTCCCACATCACGAGGGGAGAGATAGGCTTTTCCCACCCCAGCTCCAGATCTCAGACATCTCCAGCTCTGTGGAGAGAACGTGGATCTGGGATTTGGCTCGGGCTCGTCTTCCCTGCCCATCCTGGTCCTGTGCTCTCCCCTTTGCCAGCCAAGGGTGACTCTACTGAAGACAACAGGAGTTTACAGCATTGAAATCATTGCCAGGAGGAAGGAGAGAGCTCTGTCTCAACAGAGGCAGATGAGAGAGGTGGGGAAGGGCCAGTGGAGGGTGGCAGTAGCATCTGGGTGGCTGGCTCACTCTCTGAAGCTCTTTGTGATTGTGATAGACTCAAAATCTTTGCCACCCAGTGACTAATGGGAACTTTCCCATTGGCTTTGATCTGCATGGGAATTGCAGTTCCTCCCACAGTCCTGAGACTCACTCTGAGCTGAAACAAAGCACTATATCAACCCTGTGTGGCATTCCCTTCCCTCTGATGGAAAATTTCTGTTCTTTGGCAATAATTCAAACCCAGAAATATCTCAGTTGGGTAATGCTGCTGTGGCACCTTGTGGGAGCTGCAGCTCAGCTTGCATCATGCACCCACCCTTCCTAATCGCTTGGTATCC